ATTTAATTTACAAGTACAGTTGTAAATGAATGATTGTATAATTTTCCCATACATTTACTCTTTTCCGTTTACAATGTCATATGAATGCTTTTAAAAACAAGTCAAACAGACTTTACCATGCAGAATCTATCAATGTTTTAATTGCAAGATGATGGCTAATTGTTACACATTTCTCAAACCCTGTCTGCATGAGCAGACAATATGGGAATATTATATTTATTTGCTATTCTAGTGGTAAGAGTTTATAAAATGAGTCAACCACCAATAAATATAGCCAAATCAGATAGGAAAATGGATGTTCCCCGCAAAATGCACTATACGTATATGGTTGATCCAGTTGAAAAAGTTATGGATACCATCTGCCACCGAGGTCACCACTTCCCTTTAATACACTAGGTCTTTTAATCTCCACTAGCCACAGAAGGAGGAGGTAGCAATGTCGCCATGTATGTTTTAATGCACATGCCTAAAACAATCACAAACTGCTACATATATGATCACCATTTGGTCTTCTTTACAGGCTTACATGAATAGCATGTCTTAGGCACCTACCCTGACTGTTTGGTAATCTGTTCAGTGGTAACTGGCTCAGGAGGCTCAAGTGTTGTCATGTGTGCAGCAGAGGACATACAGTACTTGGTCCTATGCAAACACCGGCTTTCAGAAAGTCATTATTTGTATGATAATTTTATGGGCTCTGGCAGTGTATCATGTGGGAATTTGATGCAGGGATAATAAAATCGTATTTGCTGCACAGCAGTTACATTACTTTCCTTGTTCCGCATTGATTACCAATTCACTATACGAATCATTTTTAAGGACAAAACAAGTCTTGCTTGCAACAATAAAATAATATATTGCCACAATGCAAGTCGAAAGTCCACAATGCAAAGAACACCATAGCATGATAAAAATCAATTGTAACACATCTTTTTAATGCTTTTTTTATTTGTTCATTTATTTTAGGTTTTGTCATTTTTGTTCAGCTATTACAGCAGCTGGGCAGTGCTATTTATCCTGCAGGGTAAAAAGGTAAAACAGACAGTGCATTTATAAGAACCAAATAAATAGTGATACTGAAAGTAGATTATACCAACTGATTGATTGTATTTAATGTGCAAATAACTCTTCAGAGTCAGATAAACATAGTTAAGTTAAAAAAAAGAGAAAGAAAGAAAAGGCAGCTTCCCTAAATAGTCTACTTTAACCGGCTTGAATTAACAGGCTGTTTGTCAAACTGTAATTGTGTAATATCCCACATAACAAGAGGCAGTTGAATGAGAGTCTTATCAGCAAATAAAATGGATGGTGGATGATAATTCTGATGCATTATGGTTTGCTAAATAAGGGACACTTATTTTAGTAGTTGAGCAGTGTCAACTTGCAGCAGAGCTTTGAAATACATAGATAAATGATATCTGCAACAAGCTCCTAGCTGAATGGATTATTTGAACATAATGACACATAACTATTCACCTACATTATTTGAACCCAGTGGGGTTGATTTACTGAAGGCAAATAGGTTGTTCATTTTGCAAGAGAAGTAGAACTTTGCAATGGAATTTGCCACAAAGTTTAGTTTCACTTTGTAAAGAATACCCAATCATGTGCAAGAAAAAAAAAAAAAACAGCATTTTTTCCTGCACATGATTGAATGTTTAAAGTTATCATTCATTAAGCTCTGGGACAAATTTCTTTGTAAAGTGCAACTTCCCTTGCAAAATGAACAGCCTATTTGTGTTTAGTTAATGAACCCCTGAGTCTTCTAGACTTGCCCTCAGGAATCAGTGAAAGTGCCCATTAAGGATGAACGTATCTGCCCAGGGTTGTTTCACAAAGAGCTTCACAAATCTTGCTCAAAGGTTAGGAACGTTACAGTAAATCCCACTGAATTATATTCAGCAAGCAAGTTTTTGTTGGACAAAATACATGGGATGCTGGGCTCTACAATGGGAGACATATACCAATGCCAAGTAAAATAAAAATAAATACAAATGTTAAAAAAAAGTATATCTCCCTACACAGAATTATCAGCTCTACCTATTGTCTCAGCTCACCAGTGGCAATGATTATGCACTGAATTATAAATTGTTTCCTATTTCCTGTGGTGAATTTGTGATGTTTTCAGTCAAATGTTTGCAAACCTCCCAAATTCCAGGAATTGGACAAAAACCCATAGTACAGTGGTCAACCGAAACCTCATTGTCAGTGCTTAAAAATGAGAGAACTACTCATAATATCCCAATCACTATACTCTTAAATTAACCATAATATCACAACAGCAATGTTTACACCTAGCACAGGTACTAAAAAGGAGAAATCATCCCATATTTAGCAATATTTACCCAGATTTACCCATATTTACCCAAAAAGTGGGCATGTTCTGAGCATGTCAAGTATGGGCCGTGGCCAGGGGTGAAAGTGTTCCTGGGGCTGAAACCAATATGCTGGTAATTATACATAATGTTGACTTGCTGAATCCACAAACATACCTTCAAAATACACACATCTAATTTTGCCAAGTTTTGATAAATCTGAGTTTGAACAATTTTAAGTGACTGAAAAGAGGCAGGAGAAAAAAAAAAAGTGGCAGACTAAAAGGAATGTGACTTATTTCTGTATGGCAATGGCTTTTGCAAAAAACAGAACTGTATGTTAAGCTGAACCCAGAGCAGATGTAATACACTAGTTAATATATTACACATTCATTATTATATTAACTACATTTTTAATGCAATTAATATAGTTACCTGAATTTGACTTTGCCTTTTGCAACCTCCTGGGAGAGGAGGAGTGGGTAGCCCTGGACTAAAAACAGGAAAGCAACAGAAGAAGCTAAATTGGATGACACTGGTGAACTTGCTGAAACTAAATGTTATTGTTGGGGGGAGGCCAGACACTTCAAAGCACAATGCTCAAAAAGATTTTGAGAATAGTTATCCAGTCTTCATGTGTATCAGATCCATCCACAAAGGAAGACAATAGGGATTTGAAGACTTGGCACTATAATCACCTCTTATCACAGGGTGAAGCAGAGTGGATGCCTGTCCAGACTGAGTCACATTCAAAATGTTACATTTCAACTCAAAACTCTGGAACAAATTTTGGTGCACCAGCTCTTAATGTTACAGGAGGGGTTTCAACAGCAGATGGGGTAGTAACAATAGGATCAGATTGCCACCGCCTTAATGCCTGTAAATCTTCCTACTAGTTACCTTCACCTTCTGTTTCGGGAGGGGTTGCTGTGACTGATTCACCAGAATTTGTATAGGATGGGGATAAACCTGTTGAAGTGTCCTTTGGACCTGAGGAAGAAATAGCCTCAAAGCCTCAAGAAGTCACAGTGAAACCCTTCACCAAAGAAACCCCTAAACCCAGAGAGCAAATGGTCAAGTGACTAATTCAGCTTCTGCTGAGATTGACTTATGACTCCAAAGCAGATAGTTCTGAAGGAGCCATAACCATTGTATACAGGTTCAATGATGCTAAAGTGCTATAAGTACCCAAACCAGTGCATTACTCTCCCTACCCTTTAACTGACACATCATAGTGGGAAGTTTCTTTACCCCCAACTTATGACAGAGGCAGTTACTTAGTCCCAAGATATCACGCATTGGTGGGAAGTTCCATTTCCTACATGTTATGTTAGTAACAGTTACCTGGTTCTTTACAAATGTTGAATTCAGTTTAGTTAATTTGTTAGTACCAATTCTGTTTGGGGTCCAAAGACTTTCAGTGTAGCCCTGGCCAGCACCTCCCTTTAAGCCGCACAGCCTGGGCATAATTGTCTTTGCGGCTGTGTCCCAACTTGTGCCACTTCCCAAGGGCCTTTGATTGACATGCAATGGAATGTGTTTTGCCACATTGGTGAAAGGGACTGAACCTGCCCACTGGAATAAAAGGGATCGTTCTGGTTTGTGGGACTTAGCCCAGCCTGCTGAGCCTGGTAGGAGGAAGGAGCTCTACAACCGGATACAAGGAAGTGCAAGGAGAGCCCAGGGAACAGAGTGGTGAGGGAGAGACCCCTGGGGACATGGGCCAGAGCAGAGATTGAGCCTCACAAACATCCACGCAGACCACCAGGAAGAGGTGATCAGAAGCCCAGAGCCAGAGGGGGAGAGGTGTAGAAATAATCCAGCCACTCTAAGTACTAGCTGCCAGGAATTTCACAGCCTACACCTCACTTTCATCCAGCCACAGAGAACAGACTGCATCCAAGAAGGACATCTATTGAAAATCAGAGTGATAAGTGGTCTGTTGGCCATTCTTTGTGTGTATATCGTTTCCTACACCTGTATGGAAGACATTACTGCCTAAAGTGGAGCTAAGAGCTTTCTTAAAGTGGACCTTTTCATTCTTTTATTGTTAATTGTTTGGGACACTTTGTGAAGATACCCTTTTACCTAAGTGGATCACAAATACCTTCCTTTGTAGATGAGTGCTATGCTGTAAAGTTTAAAAGACCCCACTGCTACAGATTTTGTGATAGATTTAACCAGTGTTTTTTTAGTTGTAGATAGGTCCTTTAGTTAAACCCTTTTAATTTTAATTAATTTTAATTTTTAAGGCTATTGATTTACATTGACTGTTGTTTATTTTCGCTTGCAGTGCCATTTGCCCCATGCCAAGTGCAAGCAAGGCCTTTCATTGGCAGTGAAGGGAACAAACATCAGCCCTATTTACCTCACTGTGTTATTGAACTGTACTGCTGTTAAAAAATCGTTACTGGAAACAAACGGATTATAAAATACATCTATCTCTAAGTCTGAACTTGTGCAGGTGAAAGATTGATATCATTTGGGTAAAATATCTGAGAGCATTATTTGGGTTGACACTGAATTTCTTGGTCCTGAGACAAACTATTCAAAGGGGAGTCACAAGAAGGTCAGCTGCTAATGTGAAGTATGGCAGTACGTAGATCATACCTTCTCTTGGAATGCCAGATCTGATATCTCTGCCCTGTGGAGAAATCAATGGCTTCTAAAGGCACAAGTGATCAGAATTAAATTTCATTTTTAAGCCAGGGAAGCAAAAATGTGTGCTCCTAAACAGGGGCACAGGACTGACAACTCATGGGGCCCCCGGGCAATAGGGGATCATGGGGCCCCTGTGTCCTTGCCCAAACTCAAAAAAGCCTATGAAAAAGGTACCAGGGGCATCTCATGGGGCCCCCTACTGACCCTGGTCCCTCAGGCAGTGCCCGAGTTTCCAAATGGTCAGTCCGCCCCTGCTCCTAAATGAGCTTATGGGTACAGTACAGTCTAACTTGTTGTGAACAGTGTATCCTTGGAGGAAAACATTGCATAAATGAACTTGTGATTTTCAGAAAACAGAGAAGGATACACCTTTATTCAGATGCTATATTTTGTTTTGTGATGCTTTCATGACAGATAAATATAAAAGAATAAGGGTGGCAAACAGCAGGAAGGTTGTTCAATTAGCTTCCTATCATTCAAAGACCTACAAGCCTGCATGCTTCATGCATATAAAAGCTAAAACAGTTTTTTCCAGTTTTTGATAGCAGAGAACCTCTGTCAGGTTATTATTGCTGTCTGTGTCCCTGATAAGAGGATTCACCCTTACCATCAGTCCAGTTTATTTTGCCATTGGTGCATAAAGTGTTGGAAAAACTATTTTTTGAGAAACATATCTTTGAAGAGATCCCCTCTTACTTCCTGTTGTCTCTGGAACAGCAAGTGAAGGGAAGTTTTCCTTGGTGGGACACAAGCAGCAAAATATACTTTTCCCTGCTCTATCCAAAAAAGAAATATTGGCTTTACATGCACTTTAACACCACTTTCCTTGAGAAAAAGATGTAATCTGTCACAAGAATGTTAAAATACTATAGTGATATCCTGCTATAGTAACAGCATTAGTCCTAGGATTTTAATAGAAAAACTACTGGGAAGAGCAATTGCCATATGCATTTTCAATTCCAAGAGCCATTTTAAAAGCCCTAAAGCAATGTGTAGTTCCTTAGAACCTTTGACACCTCTAAGCCCACTTAGGGAACAGAATACCATTTCTTATTATCACTTGTCTGTAATAGACCATTTTGTTATCCCACTGAAAATAAAAATTTGTTTATATTACTTTGCCTGAATCAGAGTAATCACGATATACTGTTTGTGTATACATGTCTATATATATATATATATATATATATATATATATATATATATATATATATATATATATATACACATACCACGGTACATTGATCCTTCAAAGGCATGGCAATGTAATACACTGCACTGTTACTGTTTGCAGGATGTTAATTAAACAATTAACCACACGATGGCTGTCTTCCTCAGTTTTGCTATCACAGACTTGAGTTTAGCAAGGTATTGCTGAACTTGTATGCTGAAGGCAGGACTGTTATGCATGGACAAACTGAAAGCAGACTACATTTTCCAGAGGAGGTGGTGAAGGGGCAGGAGCCTTTATAGCATAAAGCCCGAGAACTTCCTGGAGGGAGGAGAGAGACTGTGTGAGAGCTAGGACATGTGCTTGGCTTGATAGGCCCAGGCCGGATCGGGTTGCATTGGAGAGCCAGAAAGAAGGACTACAAATATCTGGTGTTGCTGACAAGCAGGAGAGCTGACCCTGCAGGCAAACAAATCTTGGAATCGTGCCCGCTATCATTCCATTTTCAGAGGGACCAGGAGGACAAGGGGGCTCCCCCAACCAGGAGACCGTTATACACTCCGTTCAAACTTCAGACTTGGCGAGAGGGTTCCACCACCCAAACTGTCTTCAATCACCAGATATCCTGTTCTTTTTTCAATTATTTCAGTGCAGTACACTTTGCATCACAGTGTACCACCTGCAACACAAACTTCCTAGCCCAATTCAATACTGCAATTTACAACTTCAGTGCCCCCCCCCCCCCCCCATTACTCTGAACGCAGGATTACTCCTGTAGCACATGTGTCTTTGTGGACAGTGACACTGTTAATACCTCATCTCCAACATAATATAGCCATAAAGAAGCTTGCTTCTTCAAGTCATTTCTTTACCTATTGGAATAGAAATTCTATTGGAGTCTATTCCCACCCCATCTTCATCTCTACTGATCCTTGCCTTCACCCACTTCCACTAAGCGACCCTTTCTCTAACTTTGCTACTATCAGTCAGGGGAAAAAATGTTCCTACTACTGTGCTTTTCCATCTTCAAAAAATCTTGCTCTCAAGCAACCTCAACCATAATTTGCACCAACTAGCGCCCAACCAAGGGTGCAGAAGAGTTGTTTTCTTTTTTATTATTCTGGGGTGTTATTAAATGAGATATTAGCATCTGTATATTCGTCTTCCAATTAAACCCTGTTCTCGGACAACTGAGAATCCAAAAGTGAGTTAGCCCAAATTCTTGATAGCTTACTTCCACCCGTTTTTGGGAAAGATATCTCAGTGTGGGGATTGTTCTCAGTTTGGGTTTATTCTAAAGTGGTACTGTGTTTGATTATTTGGCTGAGCCTTGCAGAGCGTCTAGCAATTGTACACACTTACTGTTATCCCTTTTATGTTTGCACCATTTCTTTTGATTTGATCTTAATAAAATATTGGTTCACCTTAAACTGTGTGGTTACTTCATGTTCCAGGGCCAGGGGATTCTCCTGGTTAGGGTTTTACGGTGTTGTCAGCAGGGGATGTGTTTCCAAATCAGTCTAGGCACTCAGAACAGATAGGGAACCCAAAAATACACAGCGGCTCTTATAGGGGTAGCACTGCAGCAACATCTAGTGGTCATCTACTATCTCAAGGGTTGCATGCAATTTCATCACATACCTTTTTTGAGCCAGATCCTTATTTTTGCCATGAAATAGGAGGCAGAAATGAGGAACTGGAAAAGCTAGAAAATATTTAGGCAGATGTAAATCACACAAAGACACGTGTTATGAAGCACTACCTGTGTACAAGCATGATAGAAATAACAAATAATATACATACATGTATTCACAGTATATGAATGCATAACATTTTATATATGTTTATAACAGCTGGTTTGACCATATACCCTGTAGACACCCTTTATGGCTAGGCTAAGTAAGCATACCTCTGCCAGTACAAATGCATATGATAGAAACCAAATGATTTACCTGTATAGAAATATATAAAATCTTGATACATGTATTATTATTATGACACAACTATTTGTCATGTGGCTGTATTATTGTGATAAAGGTTGAAGAATGACACAGACTCCTAAAAACTGAACCTAGGAAGTTAGAGAAAGTGTTTGCTTCTCTGCACTATCCCTTCCTGGGTTTTTTCAGAGTGGCAGTGGGACCTGTGGGTCTTGACTGATTAACAGCAAAGAACCACAAATCTATGCAGTGCATTGTCCTATGCCATATCACATATGACACTTGCGTCCTTTCCAATATGGCAGCAGACCTTGCTGTTGATGGACAAAAACTGTAGCAACAGTGCATGTCTGTGTTCATTAATATGTTGGCACCAAGAAACAACACTCCAAACAGACCAAGCAGCACGACACTAGCAGATAAGTAACTGCTCATACCACGTGCACATCTCCACTATCACCTGGAGCCCTTCAATGACCACCACTAAAACCAGAGGAAATTACCACTAAAGTACCCCACTTTTCTATGCTAACTTACTTATGCTTACTATCATTGTGCTGATGCACTCCAACAGACCACTAGTGTACACACCACCAATATAATGGCGCACTCTCAAATGACCAACCATGCCAATGTAACACCATACTTCCCACTTACTGCCATTGTAACGACACAACATATACCAATGGGAGTTACTTAACATGTTTGTCATTGCTCCAAAGATATTTGGCTGCCAAGGTATGGGAGCGATATGGGGTGGAGCTTCCATATCTTCCTAAGGCTCTCTTGTGGATTATATAGGGCGAGTGCCAAGAATATTATGAAGCTGCTGTGTGGGAGCATTTGAGGGTGCCCACGGCTATTCCCTCTCTTTTAGGGCACAATGATACCATTCAGGAATGGAACTATGGAATGGAACTACTATACATCCTGATAGATAAAGTGCTACTGTCCAGGCTGGGAGGCAAGGACTTGCACTGGTATGTACAGTATATAAGTTGAACCCTAACACCAGCAAGTAGATTGATTTTCCAGACCCTATTACATTTAAGTTGTTTTTTGTTTGCCTTAGTTGATGTATGTTGATACTTTACTCACTGTTCTATATCTATACACGTATAGCAGGATGTGACTTTATGGGTTTATAATATTCTTATTTGCTTTGTATATATCAACGATGTTTGTAACTACAGTATAAAATTGGGCTAGATATTGTACCTGTAACTAAACTAGTATCTGCTGAATGTGTTATGTTTTTACACTGCATTCTTCATATGTTGTTGGGCTCCTGTCACCAGTTACCCATGGCAGAGGGAAATACTATTGTTAAGGAGGGTATGTTAGTACTCATTTATGCTAAACCCCTCCCCTGGGTTTGTAATGGGGGTTGAGCTATCTCTTTCACATATAAAGTTTAGGGCTTTGTGGGGTAGCACAGAAGGTTGATGGAAATGGTAATCTGCTTTGAGCTACCATTTGAGCTACACAATGTTGCTGAAAGATGCTCCTTTGGGGTAGACCCAGCGTAGGAAAGGGAGGAGGACTCACATATGAGAAAACCTTACAAAGGAGGAAAGGCACAAAAGCTGGTTGGTAACCCCATGTTGCCGTAAAACAAAAATTGACTGTGATTCAATTATTTGGATTACCTAATTGTACCATATTCACTTGTGCAGTAAAGCATTCTAAAAGGTTGTGGACAATCATTTATTAAGAGCCAATGGAGGGACACTAGTGGAGAGCGGCATTAGGCAGAGAGTGACCAATATGGCTGAGTTTCTCCATATTACACATATTTGGTAGCCCATCTCGTTCGTGTCTCCAGAAGACAAAAGGAGGTGCTTTGAGCCAGCATGATAATTGCTGAGGGCCAACTAGGGGCCTGCTTACATGAACATGAACATACATGAATATTATATTTTGACCTTCATTTTACATGACCAGGTTCTCCATGTCCTTTCTAGGTTCTCTTCCCAATTTTCTCAACAAGGGGGGGGGCTGCCCTTGATAACTTCCACATGTGATGCTGAGTATCCATGATTAAAAGAACTCAGAGCCAACAAATGAAAGTGGTGGGCTAAGGACAGTATGGCTGGGGAAGGAAGGATTAAAAAAAAGTGAATGAGGAAGTGAGGTGGGCTCCATTTGACGTGCTGCAGCTTTT